AAGTGACTGACCATCATAAAATGAGGTTGTTCCCTAGTTCATTAACAGAAGTAGCTTTCTCCTGGTTTATTAATTTGCCAGCCAACTCTATTCAAATATGGCAACAACTGGAACAATTGTTTCATGCTCAGTTTTGTAAGACTGAATCTGAAGTTACCTTGGCCGATTTGACAAATCTATGTCAAATACCAAACGAATGGGCAGAAGGTTTCCTTCAAATGTTCAAAACAGCAATAAGTAAATGTTTTGTGCCTTTGCCAGAAAAAGAGTTTGTCAAAATCGCTCAAAATTGTCGAAGTTTTGATTTGAAAAAGAAATTCCAAGATAGAGAATTTCCTAATATTTTCCAACTGAGTACGAATGTGATTAGGTATGAACGATTGATAAGAGAAGAAGAGAAAATGAAAATTTTTAGCCAGGGGACTTATTATAGAGACCCAAATTTGGATATTCATGCCATTAATGACGAGTATTACGATCAAACTGAAATATGTTTGGTCGAATCAATCAAAGAAGATGCGTATACTTGTCCTATAATGGCCAAACCTAGAGCATCGAGCAAGGACGAGCCTATAAAAGATGAAAAGAAAAAGGCTAGGACGTTCTCATTCGATGTGACCAAAGTTGACCTTATCTTTGATAAACTATATAAAGATAAGCAGATAAAGTTGAGCGATAAGCATAAATTACCAAGCCCCGAACAAAATAAGGGTAAAAAATATTGTAAGTAGCATAATACATGGTCACATTTGACTAATAATTGCTTGGTTTTTCGTCATGTGTTACAGGATGCTATCGAATCATGGCTAATTATGTTCGAAGATAAGAAAAAGATGACAGTGAATGAAAACCCTTTCCCACAACCACTTGGGGTGAACACGGTGACAACTAATTTTAAAAACAAGTTGCCAAGATTTAAATTGGTTATCGATGACAGGGAAGAAGACCCTGAGCCACATCCCAGCGTTTTTGAACGTATCAAAGGAAATGAGCCTAAAAAGGATGAAGACGTTTTGTGTATAAGATGTAAAGGAGAAGTGAGTGCAAAAATAGAGAAACCAGGAGTAGGGCAACATCACCATTGCCCTGATTTTGTCCCAAACGCTCAGCCTATTAGAGGGTGAGGTACATCATTCTATAGAGGACCGCCTTTTGAGAGGTAGTTCAGGCGAATGAATAATGTGAGAGCATTTAGGCCGCAACCTCATCAACCAAATGTATGGTATTCATGCCAGTATAATGTAGGAATGGTGATACCCTGCAATGAGATGGTTGGAACCCAACAAAGGCATTTTCAACGAAATTATGGACGAATGATGAGGCAACAGTAGGGATTGCCACGTCCTAAAGCGCATAAAACACTCGACGTAGCTAATCAAAATGTTCTCGAGGAT